CTCGCACCGGCGCCGGCAGCTGGTCGCCGTGGTGGTAGCTCAGCAGGCGACGCCGTGGCCGCGGGCTCACCGCAGGCAGTCGCTCGCCGATGACGCGCGGCGTAGGCACAGGCGCAGGCGGTTGCACGGACGGCCCAGGCATGCAGCTCGCCAACGACGGGTCCATCTCGAGCATGCGCTTCTTGAATCGAAGGTGCGTCGTCGACGCCTGAGAAGGGTCCTTCAACTTCGCTTCAACGTGAGTGTTCCGCGCGCGCGCGTTCCAAAAAAAGCAACCACGCTTCGAGACCGCTCCGAGAGATGATTGCTCCTCCAAAAATCAGCCGAAACGAGTGGAAAACGACTGCGATATGAGCCTTTGAAGTTGGGAATTTCGCACTGGTCGACACGAGCGACCCCGTCTCGACGCCGGCGATGATCTCCAAAGCTGCGACGGCCATCTCCGCACGTGTCGTCTGGTCCTCGATGGACAGCTCGTGGAAGCCCACGCCGCAATTGCCGAAGCGCGCCATCTGGTCGCCGAAGATCCGCGCGACGTCCGCCTGGAGGCCCACGAGGTCACCGCTCGCGAAGTCCGTCTGCTGGTTCGCGCCGCCGCTCTTCAAGAAGCCCACGAAGGTCGCCATGTAGATGGGCTCGCTCCAGGAGGAGAGCGCGTTGAAGGCCGCCTTCTCCGTGATGTAGCTCGAGTCGAACGGGCACCGGTAGGCGCGCTCGAAGTCGTCGCCCGTGTGCGTCGCCGGCAGGTAGCTTTGGAAGCCACGTCGGAGACCACGGACTTGTTCGAGTCCTGCGACGCCGTGGCGCGGAGGGACCTTCAACCGCAGCTTGATCGCGCCGAAGAGGTCCTTCTCGTGGAGGAAGAGTCGACCGTCGCGTCGAAGTACGCGGACGCCGTCGACGCGCGACACGTCAGTGAGCTGGCCCGGGTCGACATCCATGGTCGTCTGGGGCGCCTGGAGCGCCGGCGCCGGCGCCGCGGCGTCGTCAAATCGAAGGGCTCGCGGATCCGCCACTTGCCGCGCCGTCTCGGCGAGAATCGTCAAAGCCGCCGGCGACCCCAGAGGCGATGAACGCCGAGGACCGCCAGCCCGCTGCGATGAACGCGGCGACCTGCTTCTAGATCTCGACCTTGGCCGGCGCGGCGAGCTCCTCGGCGTCGCAGTCGTCGTCGCCGCTCGAGCTCTCGGCGACCGCGCGGCCGCGCCGGCGCCGCGCGGAGGAGGCTGTGGAGGAGGCCGCGGACCAGTCCAATCAGTCCGTCGCCGGCGCGCCTCGGACTGGGACACGAGCTCTGCGGTCGCCGCGCC